ATCTTCCATTTTACTATATATATGACAGCGTTAGACAAGATGACCTTTCAGATTCTTTTTAGCTCTAGTTCTTTGATCCTATGATTAATGTCAAAGCAAAGACCTGACCCTGATTAACACGAAGTCAAAATCCTGTCAGGAAAATATCCTAGAAAGGCCTCTGCTACTCTCTACATTAGCATAGACATTATTTGAATAACAATTCATAGTATATATCCTACTAATTGTGGATAATTATGGGGCAGCTAGGTAATGCAGTGGATAGAGCACTGGGCTTGGAATCAGGAAGATTCAATTTCATAAGTTCAAATCTAGCCTCAGACACTTACTAGCTATGTAACCAATTCACTTAACCCTGTTTGCCTCAGTTCCTCATCTGTAAAATGAGCTGGAAAAGAAAATGGCAAACCACTCCAGTATCTTTGCCAAGAAAATCCCCGAAAAAGGGGTCACAAAGAGTCGGACACAACTAAAAATGGCTAAACAATTCATTTAAAGGCTTTTTGGCTGTTATGTATTTTCTTAATCAGCAAGCAGAGAGATTGTAGTACAATTAGTTTCTTATGGGAGCCTGGGGCATTTTCTGATTTTTTTAAAGTATCTTAATAATAATAATAGTGACAGTAATTTACTGTCTATATGTTTATATAGGTCTTTGAGATTTTTATGCATTTACATGCCATCTTACTTGATCCTGTCCCGATTCCCCTTAATTCTAGTATCTTCACTCTGTTGATTATTTCCCATGTACTTTCTATATATCCTGTATATAGCTTATTTGTACATAACTATGTTTGCATGTTGTTTTCCTTATTAGACTGTGAGCTCATTGAGGTCAAGAGCTGTCTTTCGTCTTTCATTGAATACTCAGTGTTTCACACAGTGCCTGGCATACAGGAGGTGCTTAACAAATGTTTATTGATTGACAATAATTTTGTGAACAATGGCATGGCATTAATAAAAACACTAACAAGAAGACCAAAAAATGTGTATCATTATGAAGAAGAGGAGTTACAATAAAGCTCATTTCCATTATCCATAGAAACAAAGACTGGAATGACACAAACACCTCATTTTCAAAAATTAATTTCAACATTTTTTGAATACTAGCCTTTATAATAGCTGCTTTTTTACTCCAGTATTTCAAGAGTCTGTTATCTTCTCAGTGTTATTTCCTCAGACATTAACTCCCCAAACCACCCCATTCCCACCCCCACTTCCATTCATACAATTCTTCTAAAATGGGGTTCTTCACCTCTTGTGTCATTCATTGACTCAATCAAGGGAAGCCTGTGTACTCTTTCTCAGAATGATTTTAAATGCAAAAAAAAATGAAATTCATAATATTACAAAGGAAAGTAACTATATTGAAATACATACGTAATTTTTTTTCTATCCAAATTCATAGATCCTGAGGATCTCAGGTTAAGAACATCTGCTCTAAAGCTTGGTAAATAGTCTTCAAGAGTTACTAAACCCAAAATATTCATTAGCCTACAGCCAATGAAGGGATGCACCTATACAAACTGATCCTCAATCTAGTCCTCGGACAAAGGAAAAACCATTGTCAGATTTATCCTCCCAAGCCCACCAGCTTTCTACATACTAAGCTTGCCCTGTGTTTAGCATGGCCTTCAAAAAGCCAGGGTCAACTCTCTATCGTGAACTGAGAGGCATTTGGAGGACTTTTGTGATACAGTGAAGAAGTTTGCATTTCACCTCCTTTTGTTGCTACTAGCCTGACCTCTAGTGGAAGACGAAAATTAGCCAAAGACAAAAAGAAAAGAGGAAAAAAAGTAAAAGGGTCTCCTACATTACCCACACCCTAGATAAGCCCTCTCCGAAATTACTCTCATAACTGGCAATAATGAATTTAATTGAAACATGAAACTTTAGCCTTAATACTAGGGAGAAATTAGCTAAAATAATTTATGAATAACTCCTTCATGGTCATGTCCACAAACGTAGATATTTAAAACTAGATAAATTAAAATGTTAAAAACATGAGAGATATAATAAACTGCTTAGGTCTATTTTCTTTCAAGACATTCTGTTGAAAACCCAATTCTATTGCCTGCCATATTGCTTGAGGTAACAAAATTTCTGCTACTAACCATGATCATAAGCAATTAACATGATCTGTATCAAAGTCATTGGCTCATAGGCAATGATAGCTCAGTACTGTGATGGAATTCTTGAAACAATCTAATTCCACAATAATTTATTTATTTCACATTTTATTCACTCATTCTTACAAAACTGTACTATAGTACCATATGTTTGTTCTTCACTATCACTATTGGTCTCAGGGACTTTAAAAGAAGCTACTTATCCCAATAAATGTACATCAGCAGGACAGCCCCATAGTTACTCCAAGCACTAAACAGCAGCCCAAACTATCCCATAACCAACATTTTTTCTAAAAAATTATGTTAAGTTTCTTCAAGGTCTATTACCTTACAGCACATCCCAGAATCTACTGTATTAAGTAACTGCATATATTTGTATTTAGTATTAATAATAATTAGAGAAACCTAGCATAGGCAATAGAAAGCTGACTTCGAAGCCAAGAAAACCTGAGTTCAAGTCCTATCTTTGACAAATACTGGCTTTGTGACCCCGGGCACGTCACTTTTCCTCTCAGTGCTCTAGGCAATCCTCTAAAACTATTAAGTTGCACAGAAAATGCTGACCTACATTGGTAGAGGGAGTTTCCTCACCTGGGAGTTATCTATATTAATGGAATCACAGATCTAGTTCCTTTCTCAAATAATAATAATAATATATGGCATTTATATCATGCTATAAGGTTTGCAAAGCTCTTTCTAGTTTTCTTAACAGCTCTAAAATAATGAGTCAAGTCAGCAAGATATGAGTTTATTAAGCACCTCTTGTGTGTCAGGCGCTGTGCAAAGTACTGTGGCTACACAAAAAAAAAAAAGGCAAAAGACAATCCCTGTTCTCATGGGAGTCACAGTCTAATGGGAGAAACAACATACAAACAACAATGTACAGACAAGCTATAGACAAGATAAATTAGAAATAATGAACATAGGGAAGACACTAGAATTAAGGACAATTTTATAGACTTTTTATAGGTGGGATTTCGTTGTTCTTATTGGGACTTGAAGGAAGCTTGGGAAGTCAGGAGACAGAGATGAGGAGAAAGCGCGTTCCAGACATGGGAGATAACCAGAAAAAATATATATATAAACACACACACACACACACACACACACACACACATATGGAACAGGAAAATGAAATGTCTTCTACAAGCAAGGTAAGGAGGCCACCATCACTGGATCCCATACTATTTGGTAGAAAGGAAGGTAAAAGAAAACAAAAGGTACGTTTTGTTGACATTTGTCCTTTATTGTCTCTGTTAAGTACTATTTAGTACCTCTATTATTTAGAATCCAGAAAATATTTTGTTGGTTATAGTATAGACACACTCAAATTATAGATTATAAATTAAGGATTCACCTTGAATTTTTCTAAACCATGTTGGGTTTTTTTCCCTTAATTCAAAATTTATGGGAAAATATCTACAGGACGATCTCTTACTTGTAATGTATTTCCTTTCCCTACTCAGTGTTGCTTCTGAAGTTTGTTGGGTATAGGACATTGGGCAAATCATTTAATCTTTCTGAGTATCAGTTTCCTCATCTATAAAATAGGGATAATAATACTTGTGATCCTACAGGGGAATATTTTGACAAAAGCATTTTGTAAATTTGAAAGTACTATAGAAACTTTTTAAAAACATGATTTTCTTTTTTTAAATGATTTTATTATGAATGTTATCATCAAAATATTTCACTAAAAAAGAGGATTGTACATAAAACCATGAGCTTCTATTATATACTGTTTGGATTTTTAAAGTGCATATTATATTTAACAGAGTAGTAACAAAATTACCCTGTTTGCATCTCCTTTTTAACTTCTTGTTTTTTCTATGTATTTTTATTTATGCTTTTTCCTTTCTTTTTGGCATTGCTATCAGTACCCACTAACCTACTATTATTCCCCAAAAAAACCTGAGTTTTTCATTGAACAAATGTTAATGAAACTTTACAAAATATTCTTTATCGAGGCATCAAGTCACAAAGGAATAACTTGAAAAATATGCCACCTGATGTCAAATAAAAGTTTAAACTGCTGCATTATCTCAACATTAAGGATTGTTAAAGTGGTACTATGAATAGTACTACTCTTTGTTTTTAAAAAAAGCCATAAAAGTCAGAGTATAAAGTAGAGGAAACCCCCCGTGTTCAAAATGCTTACTAAGGTACAGGTATATGCAGGCATTTTATTGAAATCAAGTATTTGGGGTTTCTACTTTTAGGCTTCTAAATTACCCCATCAATAAAAAACAACACAAAAGTATGTCTCTAGAGACTGGACAAGATTTCAGATTAGAAACTTGGGGAAATATATTTTAATCACATTTGATCATTAAATGATACAAACACATATAGTTACCTTGTACCCACTTCTTTCTCAAAGTGAAACCTCAAAATCACCTCCTACAGTAACTCCTACCAACCCTTGACAGTGAAACCAGGACTCCCGAAGAGCAACTTCATGCTCCTCAGAACTCCCACAGAAACCCACAGGTTGAAGAGTATCTCCTTCAACCCACGGTTCTCAATGATGACTGCACACCTCCACCACAGACAAGATGCCAGAGCTATTCAATTATGTAAAACAACCTTGTAGCCTGTGCATGTAACAGAAAACGGTCATTTGCATCCAACTTCCATTAACCAGAAGGCAAAAGGTGTTTGGACTATTTTAGAAAAAAAAAAATGAAAAGGCTTGAAGAAAGCATGAAAGACACCCCCCCCATAAACATACATATGCAAATGTTTGTATACATACATGTGGATGTACATTAAAAAACCAGCACAGTACTCAAATGCAAAGTTCAGCAGTCCTTAAGATCAAGGCTTGCTACTCATTCTCTAAGTATCCTTTCAAAGAGAATTCAGACTTACCAGCTACTAAGAAGCTAATCAGAAAGGTCAGCAGCATCAAATCAAAGGCCTTCCAAACGGAGTTCATTTCCATAGATTTTGCCCTTCGCTCTGTACTTCCTCGCCAGTCAGCTAGCAACAGAACTGTGGCCATGGTGAGTCCTTCTCTAACATGACCCCAGTCGTCCTACACACTTTCCCCAACCAGCTTCTTCCTTCAGCAATATGTGTTTCTTACTGATTAGTAACTTGGGTCAAGAGCTGTTCTCTATAACTTGACACAGCAACAGATTTCCTGTAAGAAATGCTGAGACGAAAAACCAAGGAAGATGATTGACAAGATTATCTGCATGCTCATTGGTTCTCAACTAGGTTCTGTTGTGAACAGATTAACTTTTCAGTAGGGTACTCAAATGAAGTCAAACCGGATTTCTGTAACTTATAGTAAGGCAGGATATTTATTTATACCTGACAGATGCCATTGAATTATCCCCAGTACAGTAACTATCAGAAGCTTTTTTAAAGTTTGAAAAGCTTCATGGTCTTGATGACAACATTTAAACAATGATTTTCTTACATGATAACTCAATCTTTTTCCTATGCAAAATGAATAAATTTCTCAGTGGGAATTTTCACATGTGACTAAGGATATCATTGTCATTATCCTGTATCTTTGCCATTCATTAGCTTTAAATTAAAAAATGAAAATGACAAGAAGAAATCTCATTTTAGTTCTTCATTAACACCTCAACCTGTCACAGTACCATCTTTCTGGTAAATTCAATAGAGGCAGTCCATGTAAATTCTGCCTATTAAAAGGACAGACCATATACAGAAGATAAGTAATAAACCTCCATATGCTGAGAATCTTTGACTCCTACACAGAACTCTCCAGCAGGGCAAAAAAAAAAAAAATTATTCCCAGGAAAGATAACAACAACAACAAAAAAAAAAACCCTTGCATTTTTGCTTTTGAGATTTATAGTCCTGTTCTTCTATTTTCTAAACTTTTTTTTCAATTTTCCTCATCTCTTTATCATACTTTCCTTCTGTACATTCATGTACAGTAAGTGAGAAAGTGAACTCTTTGAGGGCAAGAACTGATAGGTCTATATTAATATCTAACAAGACATTTTATACTCAGTTAAATAATTTTAAAAGGGAAAAAAAGAACATGATTCCTCTCCAATGTGTGTATAATATCAAGTATCTGATATACAAATATTATTAGGCAGGAAATGTTAATAGAAAAATCTAACATGCTGGTTTCTATTGTATAAGAGATATGCATTCATCTCTATATCCACAGGACCATAACTAGAGTGTGGTGACCAGGGCTTTGTCCACCCGTGACAATGGAATTTAGAAGGTACTGGTAGCAAGAATACTTAGATAACTCAATGGTTGTGTGATCTCAATGATGTGATTGTGCTCCCACCACTGGTATAAGCCATCCCTCTCTGCCCCTCTTTGTGCTATCCTTGTATATGTCCCTCCATGAGAATAGAATGTGCTGGAGGCTTTTCCCTGGATCTCTTGACCTCACATGGATACCAGCAGAGCCCAAGGGCTGTCTTTTGGTCATCCTTCAATCTTGCCAGTCAGTAAATGAACATTTATTGAGCACCAGGTAGTATACTAAGTGCTAGGGACAAAAAAGGAGTCAAAAGACAGTCCCTGCCATCAAGGAGCTCACAATCTAATGGGAGAGACAATATGAAAACAAATATGTACAAACTTCTTACAGGATAAATAAGAAATAATTAACAGAGGGAAGGCACAAGAATTAAGAGGGATTGAGAAAAGCTTCCTGTAGAAGATTAGATTTTGGTTATGACTTCAAGGAAGCCAGGGAAGTCAGTAGAAAGAAATAAGGAAGGGGAGCATTCCAGGCATGGGGGACACTCAGAGCTGAGAGACGGTGTGAATTCCTTCTTGTTCATGGAACAGAAACAAGGCCAGTGTCATTGGATCCGAGAGAATGTGGTAAGCAGTAAAGTATAAGAAGAGTGATCAGCCCATCTTTTTTTTTGGCCATACATCTCTGATGACATCCTTCCTTACACAACTTGCCTTCTGCATTTGGAGTCAGAAGTTTGGAGTTTGAATCTGGGCTCTATCACTTACAACTTGTGTGATCTTGAGTATCATCTTCTCTGAGCCTCAATTTCTTCATCTTCTTCTCTCCACTCATACAGCCACCACCCTAGTTCAGGTCTTTATTACTTCTGGCCTGAATTATTACAATAGCCTTCTAATTGGTATCTCTACCTCATGTTTCTCCCTATTCTACTACATCTTTCATTCAACCAAAATGACTTTCCAAAAGGATAGGTCTGCTCGTTTCACCTTCCCCCAACTCAGTAACTCTGGTGGTTCCCCATTACCCACAGGATCTGTTTGATTGTAAAGCTCTTCAAATGACTTCTTCCTACAGTAAGGTTCTTCCTTCCCCTTTAAGATTTGAGCAATTCAGCCGCTGAAAGAGGCAGGAAAAAAGTATTTTTGCAATAAGAAAAAATAAATTAGCTTGGAAAAAGGATACAATAACATCTTTTTTTATACAGGAACAATTTAGTGGCTGAAAAGGGCAGAGAAAAATATGCTTAATAAAAACTCCTAAAAATCTGTGTATAGCTTTCAGATATGGTATGAGCAGTTCTGTTGCCAAAAGGAAGAGGAAATAGCCTTTTATATAATTATTTGGAGACTATGGGATGATTTTTAAAAGGTCTGTTGGTTTTATAAGTAACAGAAAAGGCGGGTTCATGAGGATTTTTTTTTTAATTTTATAAGGAAAAGGTAAGTCATTGAGTACAAAGAGGGACTGATTTGTGTCACTGAAAGCGGTAAAGGATCTGGGGGGAGTGTTCAAGAAGTCAGGCGAGAGCAAGGGGAGGGAAAAGTCAGCTTTAAAGGAGTTGTGTGAAGAACTAGGTAGTGGGAAGGGAATTATCTAACTAGAAAATTTCAGATGGTAGTTCCTGATTGACTAAGAAAAGCTGCTTCTCATTGAAAAATATCTGAATTGCACTTAAACACTATCCACAATATGAGATAGATAAAGTCTTTCAGTTGCTATCTGTCACCCTCTCTGGGATGAGGAAGGAAGAGGGAAATATAGACTTTGTAATTGGTTTGCTGTTCCATTGGATAGCTAACACCTGACTGGACATCTCAGATTCCTGGTGAGTGAAGAAATGGTTGGGCTTGTCTGTATTGCCCAGAAAGAGCCAGTGGGATGAACCTTGCAGTTTTCTAGCTTAAAGGTAACTGTAGAAACATTAACACCTTCTCAATACCTTTTTCAGGGTGATTGTAAGTTTAAAGAGTTTGTCACTGTTCATCAGTTTGATAATAGAAGAGGGTGGGGGCAGAGCCAAGATGACAGACTAGAAGTAGCAGCCCAGTTGAACGCTCCCAACATTCCCTTCCAAACAACTTTAAAATAACTTCTCAAATCAAATTTGGGAGTGGCAGAGCCAACAAAAAGTCAGAGTGAGACATTCTTCCACCCTAAGACAAGTTGGGAGGAGGTCAGCAGGAAAGCTTTGTGACATTAGGGTGGGAGCCAGCCTAAAGTAGCAGCACCAGCAGAGGGCCCTGGAGGTGGCCGTGGCTGGACAGCTGCTTCAGGAACTCTCAGCCCAGAAACAATGGGAGGGTGAGATAACTGGTCAGAAAGAGATTACAGAAGACCCTTTGCTAGCACTGGGAACAGCTGGCACTTATTGCCAACTCTGTTGCCCATACACAATTCCAGAGTAAAAAGGGATCCTTGTGGTCATCACAACAGAGCAGGGGCCCTGGTCACAATTCCAAGGCAGAAAGGATCAGTAGGCTTTTAGCTTCAGGAAAGCAGGCAACCTGGTCATAGTTCTAGGGCCAAAAGGAGCACTAGCACTTGTGGTTGCAGGGGAACAGGGTAAAGACCAGGGTGCAGACCAGGAGAGCAGTGTCCAAACTTCTTCCCAGATCACAGCACCTTAGAAGCACCAAAAACTTGAAAACCCTCAGCAACACAAAAAAAATCTGCAGGTTGGGACATTGTCTCCCCACCCTAAGGTGAGCAGAACCCACCTTTAACATAAAGTTCAAAGATAATAAATAGACTGGGGAAATGGGCAAACAACAACAAAAAAAAAGAGCTTGACCATAAAAAGTTACTACGGTGGTAGGGAAGACCATAACATGAACTCCGAAAAAGACAACAACATAAAAACAGCTACAAGCAAAGCCTCAAAGCAGCATGCTAATTGGACCCATGCCCAACAAGAATTCCTGGAAGAGTTAAAGAATGAAGTTAGTGTGGTAGAGAAAAAATTGGGGAAAGAAATGAGAGTGATGCAAGAAAATTATGAAAAGAGAATTAACAACTTGGTAAAAAGAGGCACAAAAAATACTGAAGAAAATAACACCTTAAAAAACAAAATTGGCCTAATGGTAAAAGAGGCACAAAAATTCACTGAAGAAAAAAACTTCTTAGTAAGCAGAATAGGCCAAATGGAAAAGGATGTACAAAAATACACTGAAGAAAAGAATTCCTTAAAAAGCAGAATTAGCCAAATGGGAAAAAAAAAGAGGTATAAAAGCTCACTAAAGAAAACAATTCCTTAAAAATTAGAATTGGGCAAGTGGAAACTAATGATTCCATTGGACATCAAGAAACAACAAAACAAAGTCAAAAGAATGAGGAAATGGAAGAAAATATGAAATATTTCAAAGGAAAAACAACTGACCTGGAAAATAGATTAAGGAGGGATAATTTAAGAGTTATTGAACTGCTTAAAAACCATAATCAACAAAAGAGCCTAGACATCATATTTCAAGAAATTATTACAGAAAACTGTCCTGATATCTCAGATCCAGAGGGTAAAACAGAAATTGAAAGAATCCACCAATTACCTTCTGAAAAAGATCTCCAAAGTAAAACTCCTGGGAACATTATAGCCAAATTCCAGAGCTCCCAGTCAAGTTTCACTGATAAGGACTTCATTTCTCAAATATATAAGGAACTGAGTCAAGGTTATTAAAAAAAATAAGAGCTGCTCCCCAATTGCTAAATGGTCAAGGGATGTGAACAGGCAGTTTTCAGAAGAAGAAATCAAAACTATCCACAGTCATATGAAGAAATGCTCTAAATCACTACTGATTAGAGAAATGCACATTAAAATGACACTGAGGTACCGCCTCATACCTATCAGAAGTGACAAATGCTGGAGGGGATGAGGGAAAATAGGTACACTAATAAACTGTTGGTGGAGTTGTACAGTGGTCTAACCATTCTGGAGAGCAATTTGGA